CAGTGGAACTCTCTCCCTGGGAGTGTGGTGCAAGCTCCTTCTTTGGAGGCTTTCAAACAGGCTGGATGACCATCTGTCGGGGGTGCTTTGAATGCAATTTTCCTGCTTCTTAGCAGGGAGTTGAACTGGATGGCCCATGAGGTCTCTTCCAGTTCTATGATTGTATTATTCAAATAGCCTTTCACTCCCACAACAGCAATAAGCTTTAATATATGAATTTAAAGCAAGGTGTATGCATTAAAATCACATATCTATTTTGAAATAAACTACAATGGACGATAGAGTTGATATCTCTAGAGTGTCAGAATGGTAAACATTATATCTTTTCTTAATTGTCTGTCTGCACTGAAGCCAAGTATTTGTTTTCATTACCTGATATATTTGTTTAACTGTAGCAGCATGATGTTTGCAATGCAATGAGCTCTCACAGTTTATGAGAGAAAATATTTCAGCCTTAAAACAATTCCAGTACACAATACAGAAAGCTTCCAGGCAAATGAGGTCACCTACTGAATTTTTCATGTATTCAATCCCAAGAAGAGTCTGAAAAATATATAAACCACATTATTCATGCATCAGATCTTGGTAAAAGGACTAGAGAGAGGAAGTTTGACACTGGTAATCTGGAAAGGGGATGGCCATGTAAAATAATTGACTGTTTCTTCACTGATCATGCTAAAGACCCTGATTAAATGCACATTTTGTATAAATGGTTGGCACAATCTTAGGTATGCAGAGGTATTATGAACTTTACTCACTTGTGAGTTTCCTTAGGATTGTGTCCTTAAGAGTCTATTGTCATTGTTATTGTTTACAGAAAGTCTCCCCTTGTTTGGTCATGTTCTTCCCCTTCTTCCCTCATTTGAGAAAGAGTGCAGCTACAGAAGAGGGGTACAAAAAGGGAGAAAGCACTACCTGCATCTCTATAAGATTGCTGCCACCCAATAATATCCCCCCTCCTTTTGCAGTGACTCAAAAGTTTGTTTGGTTGCATGCTTCAAGTAGCTTCTGGTGTGAGAGAATCAACTGTCTACAAAGACACTGCCTAGGAGATGCCCAGATGTGTTAAGATCCTGCAGGGAGGTTCCTCTCATGTTCTGGCCACCTGGAAGACTGGGTGACTTGGAAGGCATTGAACAGACTGCGACTTGGCACCACAAGGTGCAGAGCCAATTTTCAGAAATGAGACTACAAAGTGGAGTCCATGACATGGGAGTGTGGAGAAGAGCGAACCACAGAGGAGAAGCAAACCACAGAGGAGCCATGGAGAAGAAGAACTAAACAGGTTCCTGGACCATCTTAACAGCATCCACCCAAACATCCAGTTCACCATGGAAAAAGAAAATGAAGGAAGACTGCCTTTTCTAGATGTCCTAGTCATCCGTAAACCAGATCAACAATTGGGTCACACCGTCTACAGAAAACCCACACACACAGATAGAGATCTACATAAAAACTCCAACCATCACCCAAGTCAAAAAAGAAGCACCATTAAAGCCTTGGCAGACCGTGCAAAAAGAATCTGCGAACCCCACCTCCTCCAAGATGAACTGAACCACCTCAACTGGGCTCTACAGGCCAATGGATATTCCACCTCAGACATCAGAAAAGCTGCAAGACCAAGAACAAGCCATGAGAGTCAAGACAAAGATCCACCCAGAGGAAAAGTGTTCTTGCCATACATCAAGGGAACCACTGACCGCATAGGAAAGCTGATGAGGAAACACAACATACAAACTATCTACAGACCCACCAAGAAAATCCAACAAATGCTACGTTCAGCAAAGGACAAGAGGGATCCTCTCACTTCTGCAGGAGTCTACCGTATACCATGCAGCTGTGGACAAGTCTACATAGGGACCACCAAACGCAGCGCCCAAACACGAATCAAAGAACATGAAAGGCACTGCAGACTACTTCAACCAGAGAAGTCAGCCATAGCAGAGCAGAAAATCCACAGTTTGGTCTTACAGAAGGCCCATGGCCAGGGCTGTAGCCAGAAAAAAAATTCGGGAGGGGTTGAAATTTGGGGGGGGGGTTGAAAATTTCACGGGAGGGGGGTGTTTGAAACCTGCCTCCTAGCTCACGCTGAAGCAAAGAGCACAGCAGGGGGCAGAGCAGCCTTCAATAGCCTGCAGCTCCGCCCCTGTCAACCACCTCCACCAAGTCTGGCCTCCTTAATGAGAGCATTCAACACACACACCCCCAACTTGGTTGCTTCACTACATCGGCTATTGTTGCAAGTAATGACAGTGTGAATAAATTGTCAATATTTGCTTGAGATAGTGCTTACAGTTCTGGAGGGACTCTTAATTTTTTGCATCTCATAGACTTAGCATGGGGATTTGGTTAACCAGTTAAAATTCATGAGTAAACCAGTTTTTTTTAACCTGAAACATTTCGGGGGGGGGTTGAAGACTAATTCAACCAGAGAAGTCAGCCATAGAGCACCTGATGAACCAACCTGGACACAGCATATTATTTGAGAACACAGAAATGCTGGACCACTCTCACAACCACCATGTCAGACTACACAGAGAAGCCATTGAAATCCACAAGCATCTGGACAATTTCAACAGAAAGGAGGAAACCATGAAAATGAACAAAATCTGGCTACCAGTATTTAAAAACTCTAAAATTACAACAGCAAAACAACAGAGAGGAAACAAACAAGGACATCTAATCACCTCTTGGTAAAGCTTTTCTATAAACTGGGTTGTAGGTTTTTTCGGGCTATATGGCCATGTTCTAGAGGCATTTTCTCCTGACGTTTCGCCTGCATCTCTGGCAAGCATCCTCAGAGGTAGTGAGGTCTGTTGGAACTAGGAAAAATGGGTTTATATATCTGTGGAATGACCAGGGTGGGACAAAGGACTCTTGTCGCTCGCCAGCACAAGATTTTATTGTGTGAGTTGTCGCTACAACCCACTTCTTAGTTTGTATGAGACCAACATCCTCTCCATCATGTCTTGCCCGTCGCCCGCCGCGAGCAAACGTGTGCTTAGAGAGGTTATTCGATGTGTGCCTGTGCTCATGTGTTTCCTCTCTGTTAGATCCGCTCCAGTGCTGTACGTGCAATGGCCTATTCGCATGTTTTTAATATAGCTAGGCAGTTTGCCCCTCTGAGTCTTCGATGCGTAGAGCGTCCACTCCTATTCTGGATGAAATCATACGCTACCCACCAATCTCCTGCTAAGGTGTAGATTTTTTTTTTACACATGGCTTCTCTGTGTCGTCGACATGGTAGTTGTACGTAGACTTCTCTTTACCCGTTTTTTTCCCTTTCTGTTGAAATTGTCCATATGCTTGTGGATTTCAATGGCTTCTCTGTGCAGTCTGACATGGTGGTTGTTCGAGTGGTCCTGCATTTCTGTGTTCTCAAATAATATGCTGTGTCCAGGTTGGTTCATCAGGTGCTCTGCTATGGCTGACTTCTCTGGTTGAAGTAGTCTGCAGTGCCTTTCATGTTCCTTGATTCGTGTTTGGGCAATGCTGCGTTTGGTGGTCCCTATGTAGACTTGTCCACAGCTGCATGGTACACGGTAGACTCCTGCAGAAGTGAGAGGATCCCTCTTGTCCTTTGCTGAACGTAGCATTTGTTGGATTTTCTTGGTGGGTCTGTAGGTAGTTTGTATGTTGTGTTTCCTCATCAGCTTCCCTATGCGATCAGTGGTTACCTTGATGTTTGGCAAGAACACTTTTCCTCTGGATAGATCTTCATCTTTATTCTCGTGGCTTGGTCTCGGTCTTGTAGCTCTTCTGTTATCTGAAGTGGAGTATCCATTGGAGTATCCATTGAGGTGGAGTATCCATAGGAGTTGCCATAAGTCAACAGGAGATTTGTATTTTTCCACTTTCCTCCAAGTGATGTAAGCAATGCTTGTCCCTCACATAACTTTCTTCACCATATCCAGATGATGGGAGTTGTCATCTTGCAACAATGGGAGGTTTATAAAGTCTTCAGAAACATTAAGGACTGCTGGCAGTATATATGGCCATATGTTTGGGCCCTAGTAGCAGTATAACCTCAAGTTATTATATTAATATATACATTTGTAGCTGTGTGCAGACACAGAACAAGAGAAGACAAATCTATCAGTGGGTTTCTGGGTCCAAGAGTGTATGATTTGCTCAGCATCATCCAGTGGCTCTCCATGGCTGAGTAGGTAAAAGAACCTTAATCTCCAAAAGCCCTTGCATTTTTATTTCCAATGAGATACTTGTTTGTGAGCTTTCCTGCTCAAAGTGTTTCATCTCTTGTGTACTGTACTTTCTTGCTATGTGTGCTAGGCCAGCATGTGAATAGGTTTGGAGTTTGACTTCAAACAGCCAGATACCTTGGCTTGACTCTGAAGAGTTGGCATCTCCTTCTGCATTCAGAAATCTAGCATTTCCGGCTAAGTGCAGCTTAGTGTATGCCAGAACTCAAACATTTCCATAGTTCAAGGATTTGAAATCTGTGCAGCGCTGCATTGCAGGGCTGTTGCCCAGGAGTCAAAAGTAGAGGGGAAACCTGGCTTTGACCTAAGACAACCTTCTGAAAACTTAAATATTTATTGCCCTTCTGGTACATTTATCTTCTCAAGGATAGAAAAAACACTTTGTTTGCAGCAGACTGGTTTGTCTTAAGTGTAAAGTGGGGAGGACAATACATGTAATCTTGAAAGTATTTTTAACAGCAATTTTCTTGGGTGCTATGACAACGGCTGCAGCAGCGTAATGCAGAATGGAATGACAACCTGAAAAAGTAGAGAATGACAGCAGCAGCCTTTGTGGAAGAACATGTCACAGCATATTGAAATCAAGTTTGTACTCATGCCTGAATCCTACACACTGCACTCCATCAATGCATTGAGAAAAGGGATAGCAATTAAATACAACTAATGTTCAAATCAATTGGTAGGTGTTGAAGGTTCCAAAAGGTTCCTCCTTTCCCCCTCTCTCACAGCTATATCTCTTTAAAACTGGCTGGGATGAATAGGACTCCTTCGCTGCCTATGACACAGTAGGAGGACCTCTTTGACAGCACTTAGCAACGCCCCTGCTTTGACCCTCCTCATCTGTGAGGAAAATCAAATCAATACTCTCTTCTTCAAATCACGATGCTCCCGCAGCAGCAGCAGTACCAGGAGCGGCAGAAGACTGCAGTAGCTGCCTCTGACTCTTCTTAAATTTTGCCAGCATCTCTCTCGCTTCGATGATCTCCACATTTCTGGACTTGGATCATTGCTGAGGAGTCCTGCCCGTCTGCCACTGAAAGGATCTTCTACATTGTCCTGTATTAGATCTTTCTGTTCTTTAGAAAATAAATCTCTTTGGATTTGCTGGCTATTGGAATGTTAATCTGAGATGCTTAGATCTCTTCTTAGCAACAAAAGTCATTAGCAACCTCTGTGATGCTTTCTTGTTTCACACACAATCTTAAAATGTTTGGCGTGATGTAAAAGACCAAATTCTGATTTTTTTTGTTTGATATTTGAAACTTGTTTTGAAACATATGTGGGAGGCTTTGAACTCCCTTTCCAGGATGTTTTGAATACATGCTTAATAACGGATGCTCTGTGATGTGCATCTCTTTGCAAATTAATAAAAGTGGGATATGTTTTTTCTTCTTCCTAGAAATGGCCAACAGAGGACCGAGCTATGGCTTAAGCCGGGAAGTTCAGGAGAAGATTGAACAGAAGTATGACCCAGAACTGGAGAGTCGACTGGTAGACTGGATTATTATACAGTGTGGTGAAAATATAGAGCATCCCCCACCTGGAAGGCAACATTTTCAGAAATGGTTAATGGATGGAACAGTAAGTAATAGTCTGATGTTATATTTGTAATAGCCATATTTAAAAGCAGCAAATATTTACTATCCACAGCTGTATTCACCAAAGCAAATCGATAACTCTGATACTCCGGTCCTAACCTCTTAGATGTAAATCCTATATAAATCATTAAGCAATCAAGAAATGCTTGAGAACTGGAATGAACTTTATGTTGTCCTCTGCCATTATGTGATTGTTGTTGTTGTTGTTGTTGTCTATAAACTGCCTTTCCCTATCTAGAACCTAAAACAAAGATTAATGTATTTGAAAACAATTGCTGATTGTGACCAATAGCTTTAGAATGAATACTGGGCATATGCATGTAGAGCCAGATGGAAGGATGGTTATGTAATATGGTAATTATAGATTACCTTGTCTCTGACAGTTGCAACACACTATTTTTAAAAGAGAAGCTTTTAAATATCAAGATTTCTTTTCTGTTTAAAATTTTCTCTTGTTTAAGAAAACAATAAACAGACCTATATACTTATGCCACAGTTCTGGTCTCTTGTTGCAAAGAATGGCCATTCTGAAGGCTTTAAAAGCAGTTTATTTGTTTAGTAAATAAGCAAAAAAGATGCTGTCCTCCATACAGAAGATGTAAGACTTGCATTTGACCCGAGCCTGTGTCACTGTGCTTTTTAACAGCATATTAATTGATACCACTTCCAGCTAGGTTTGGATTGTGTTTGCCTCTCCCACACAACTGTCAATTGTTATATAACCTTTAGCGAATGATTGGATTTTGTTCGCTCGAGTACATCCATGCATGGTCGGTCCAGCTGTGGAAACGAAAGCTTTGGCTAGTGTGTTTTCTTTTCTTTTAACATGTTAAGAAAAATTCTTAATGGTATAAATGTCAAATGTATGTATGTGTAGACCAATTTATTTATTTATTTATAAGAAATGTTTCCTCTGTGATTTGCATCAAAGCAGCCACATTGTAAACAAAACAACATGCACATATTTGTCATTCGTGAACTGGAACTAATTGATTTTTGTTCCTTTCAATCCTGTTTCTATCTTTAATCTCCCAGCTGCTGTGCAAGTTAATAAACAGTTTACATCCCAAGGGAAAAGAACCCATTCCAAAGATCACAGAATCAAAGATGGCTTTCAAGCAAATGGAGCAAATTTCCCACTTTCTGAAAGCTGCAGAAATCTATGGTGTACGAACAACAGATATTTTCCAGACAGTGGATTTATGGGAAGGTACACATATCTCTTATGCATGATTTTGTAGTGAAAGGACAACTGGCTTTTGTATATTATGTCACTAAGATGGATATTAAAATTGATTTCTCTAAGGGAAAAATTCCCTAATGTCATTATCTTTCTGTCCTGTTTATGTTGTCTACATTTTTCCCAGTGGCCTGTTACCTTCCCTGAGAAATTTCTATTATTCCAGGGCTGTATGCTAATACATAAGTGATAGATATAGCAGTTTGACAGAAATGCATACATCAAAGGAAAATTACAACTTTAGATAGATTTTTCATTACAAATAGCAAGTTGTGATAACAAAAATTACTAGTTCCCAGAAATTTATAAGATAATCAATAACAATTCAGACTTGAGGGTGGCCACAAGAGATAGAGGTAAACCTTTGAATTAGGTTTAAATTGGGACTAGGCATAAATCTACATTGATTTGTTCCACTTGTAAAGGGATAGAGCCTTACAAGACTATTATTTTTTATTATTTGCCATATATATATCCCACCCTTCTCACCCCAAAGGGGACTCAGGGCGGTGCACATAAAAGCACATAAAAGCACTCAGGGTGGCGCACATAAAAGCTGCCATACAACACATATCCAGCAAATAAACATATACATTAAAACAACTGCTAAAAACATTTCAACCATAAAATCATTAAATCATGTAATCCAATATCATAATCTAGGCCATTCCAATTATAATTGCACCATTCCAGATTCACATATTGCACTAATATATTGTCCAAAAGCTTGGTCCCACATCCACATTTTCCGTTTTTTCCCTAAAGGTTAGGAGGGAGGGGGCTGATCTGATGTCACTAAGGAGGGAGCTCCAAAACTGAGGGCCAGCCACTGAGAAGGCCTTTCTCTCATCCCCACAAACTGCACCTGCGGAGGAGGTGGGACTGAGAGTAGGGCCTCCCCCAGATTATCTTAAACTCTGAGATGGTTCATGGAGAGAGAAACATTTGGACTAATTAACCATATTATATTTTCCTTACCTTTCCCCTCAATATTTTATTTCCACGCCCTTTATAATCTTTTCTGTTTTAAACTATTCCCATTTTGTATCTAAATTACTTGTGCACATTGCTTCTGAAATAATTGAAATAACTCTCAAGTGGCACATTTTTAAAAAATCATAAAATGCCACAATTTGTGTTAATCTTGGTTGTCACTAAAGCCATGAATTGCATGACAGACAACCAGACTAACTATGGTTGGTCTTCTCTACTTCTAGTGTTTTCCCCTCGTGCCCCTTTTGTTGTCTTCTTGTTCATGGTGAGCAACTGGAGAAACAAGCCAGAGATGAGATAAAGAATTGTACATGGACGTCATGGCAAATCATGGTTTAATCAAGGCAAAGTTTATAAGCTTACTAGAAACCATGGCCTACATTCAATTTTAATTCCCATTTAAAGAACATTCATTTAATCAATGGGAACCTGGAAAGTCAACATTAATGTAAGTTCCATTGGTTCAACCAGTCTATTATGATTGAGATTCACAATTGGTTTTAGACTGAAAGGCAGACGTTATGGCTTTGACAGATTAGCAACCATGGCTTGTTAGCAGAGGTACATCATCACATCACAACAAAACAGAGTCCAAGGGCCCACAACATGACCTATCTTGACATTTTAATATTACCTTGTTATTAGATATCATTAATAAGGATTTAGCTTAGAATGACTCTATGAATGAGAGATCTCTATGTGTGCCAGCCATTAGCAGCCCTGCTCAAGTCTTGCAAATTCATGATCATGGCTTCCATTTCTTATGTGGTCTTCCCCTTTTCCTACTGCCTTTCACTTTACCAGACATCTTTATAAATGAGTCATGTCATCTCACGAGGTGTTGAAAGTATGATAACTTCAGTTTAATCATTTTGGCTTCTAGCAAGAGTTCAAGCTTGATTTGCTGTCAGACTCATTTATTTGCCTCTCTGACAATCTGTGGTATCTGCAGATTTTCCTACAGCACCACATTTTAAATGTACAGTTTTTCTTCATGACAGCTTTTTTCACTGATCATTTTTCACAATCATACATAGACATGAGAAATAATATGGCATGACTGATTCTGGTTTTGGATTTAATTATATATATATTTCTACTGGAGGATTTTATCTAATACTTTTATTGGTGCCCTTCCAAATGTTAACTTTATTCTGCTCTCTTGACTATACTTTCCAATGTGAGTTATGGTTCAGGCAAGATATAGACCAGGGGTCCTCAAACTATGGCCCGAGGGCYGGATACGGYCCTCCAAGGTCATTTACCCGGCCCTCACTCAGGGTCAACCTAAGTCTGAAACAACTTGAAAGCACATAACAACAACAACAACAACCTTATCTCATCACCCAAAAGCAGGCCCACACTTCCCATTGAAATACTAATATGTTTATATTTGTTAAAATTGTTCTTCATTTTAATTATTGTATTGTTTCTAAGTGTTTTTGCACTACAAATAAGAGACATGCAGTGTGCATAGGAATTCATTCATGTTTTTTCAAATTATAATCCGGCCYTCCAACAGTTTGAGAGATTGTGACCAGGCCCTCTGTTTAAAAAGTTTGAGGACCCCTGATATAGACAGTCTTTMACTGTTTCAATGTCCTCATCTCCTCCCTTTAAGCAAATAATCTGTGATTATTATATTTCCTATATTGAAATGAATTGCCTGACTTATCGTGCCAAGGCTGATGCAACAGTGCACACCTTCCGGCCAGCCATGGTTCCTGAAGGAGGCTTCTTCCTCCTAGAAGTTCCCAGCACAGCAGGAAAGTTTCCCACCGCCAGGCCACCAGGCCCTGGCTCCGGATCGGCTAGGACCTGCCTCCATTTTGCCGGCAGCCTATTTAAGACTGCCCTGGGCCTCGGCAGGCACTGTTCCTGTATCAGCTGATCCATTCATCCCACCCACGCTGCATGTTTGTGAGGTTTCCGGTTCTTGTTAGCTCGTCACAACTTTTGGGTGGAAATGTCCAGTGGTTGCCAGGGGTGCCAAGTTAACGTTGGTCCGATATTGTACTGGCAGCACCCGGGCATGTAAAGTGGTATCGGACAACAGCAGGCTGCCCAATCTTGATCCAGGGCCCATGCATGGCAGCCAACCTTTGTTCCTGTAATCAATAAATAAGTTGTGGCCATGGTTATATTCCAACTCTGTGTATGCATCATTTTTGGTTATGCTCGTGGGAGGTGTGTCACCCATCTACATGCAATATTCAGCTATAACCTGGCTTTTGCTATTATCTATATATCTTAAAATGTCAATATACCTTTCTCCAGTTTTCACAATTCAGAGGCCAATTTTGTCCTTTGAATTGCACTTTTTGTATGACGTGTTATATGGTGATAAATGCACCCTTGCCTGAATCCTTGTCATATTCTATTCTGACAGTGGCTTTTTATGTTTCGTATACCTTATGCATCAGAAACACTGAATGCTGTAACATTTAGGACCATCATAGATTTCCCCTTTAGAGTCTAATCTACATTACTAAAGGCTTTGCTATAATTTATAAAGCATAAACTGTTTTTCTTCTGAAATTATTTGATGCATTCCATTAGCCAATATATGTGTGTGCAACATGATTTCTAGTGCCTCTTTCTTTTCTGAACCCAGCTTGGACTCCTGGCATTTCTTGGTCAATATATAGTATGTTAAAAGTCTTTGTTTTAAAATCATTTTTTGGGAAATTCTTGAGGATATAAAAGCTTGACATAAAAACATTTTCATTATGCATAGGGAATTGTGGTAACCTTGATTTGTTGCCTAAACATTATTGTTACCACTGGAAACTTTTACTGGCAAACTATAAGCCTTTATTTCAATATCTTATGGATTGACAGGGAGTATTCCTCTTAGCATTCATAAAACCAATCCAAATGATTGATCATATAATTTAGAAACTCAAAAGAGTAACTTTAATTGGCACAAGTTCTTATTTGTACTACATTTTAAAACAAAAACGTATGCAGCATCTTTCATGTTCATAATTTGCTTCAACAGCTAAACTAGATTTTATGCAGTGCATTATTCCAAATATCATCCAGTGGTAATCTGTCTTACAGAAAAGTAGCCACATTAAAACTCCTTTCATGCATGTTGTTTTTTCTTACATGAAGTTAATATCCATGTAGGAAAAAGCATGTGTGCTGCAGCTGTTCAGTCCATGAACATGAGTCAAATTCTTGCAACCCATTGTATGAAAACAAGTCTTGCAAACAGCATGTTTGTTTTTCTGTTTTCTTCTTTCCTTTGGATCCTTCTCAGCCTTCTTCATCTTGAACAAGCAATCAGCAAAGCTTCTGTTTCTTCCTTTGTCTTCACATTTTATTTTAAATTAGATTATGAGCCTGCAGGCTTGTCTAACCCATTTACTGTGCCTTTTCTATGCACAATACATTTATAGATATAAAATGGTGATCATGGACAGGAAGAAGTGAGAGAGCTTCATCTAAAAGCCCAGCAGGATGGGGACATTGCTCTGAGGGGAAATGGAAAAAGCAGTCAGTGCTCCCTGCTGCTCATGTCATTCCCCCTTCCTCTCTTTACGGGACAACTGGCATCCTCAGAAGAACAATACCTGGTGCTATTTCCTCCATGAATATGCTGATCAGAAATTATGACTCTTAAAATCAAATATATTAAAATCAAATTATTTGAAATTGTGAGGTCATGTTGAGTTCATCTATTGGGATAGAAATTTCCCAACTTAATTTGTAATGTGTAGTGTGCAAAACATGAGCATCTGGTGGCGCAGTGGGTTAAGCTGCTGAGCTGCTGAACTTGTTGACCGAAAGGTTGCAGGTTCGAATCCAGGGAGCAGTGTGAGCTCCTTTTGTCAGCCCCAGTTTCTGCCAACCTAGCAGTTCAAAAATATGCAAAAAGGTGGGAAGGTAACGGTGCTCCATGTAGTCATGCTGGCCACATGACCTTGGAGGTGTCTACGGATAACGTAGGCTCTTTGGCTTAGAAATGGAGATGAGCACCAACCCCTCAGAGTTGGACACAACTGGACATAATGTTAGGGGAAAACCTTTACCTTTACCTTAGTGTGCTAAACAGAGATAGCATACTAGATTGAGAAAGATTTCTGTCAGAGAGCCCTATCCAATGCCTTAAAGTAATAATATTAAATGCCTTTATTCCAGCAAGAACAGCCATTTTTGATGTTATGTTATGTTCTTATATGTTTTCAGTAATTTCAATGGTTCTATTTTAAGTTATATTAAATTAACTATGCACTTTTTTAATTGTTTTAACTGTTACTTGATGTAAGTCGCCCTGGGTCCTTTCCGGGAGACAGGATACAAATAAAACTTCTTCTTCCTCTTCTTCTTCTTCTTCTTCTTCTTCTTCTTCTTCTTCTTCTTCTTCTTCTTCTTCTTCTTCTTCTTCTTCTTCTTCTTCTTCTTCTTCTTCTTCTTCTTCTTCTTCTTCTTCTTCTTCTTCTTCTTCTTCTTCTTCTTCTTCTTCTTCTTCTTCTTCTTCTTCTTCTTATCGTTATCATTATTTGTGAACCTGAGTGACAAGGAAGACAATAAGTAACCCCACTTTCTTCTGCATGTTTAGTAGCTGACAGCAACAGGGGACTTGCTACAGTGTTAAACACTTCCCACAATAAATGTGAGAACTATATTGATTTCAGTTGTAGTCCCCACCCCTCCACTGTAGACATGAGGGGAAGGGGTGGGGCATGAATTACAGTCCAGTCTACCAAAACCTGTTAAGAATAATTATGCAAGTTTAAGTCAACTGTCTCATGCAGAGTTTTACATAGGTGATAGATGCTTGGAGGTGGCAGCAAGGTTTAAGGGAAGGAGCCTTCTGTGCATCTGCTAAGATAGCATGCTGCCTTCAATTGCAGTAGAGATTGCTTTCCAAGCACTAAAATTGGTGAAAAATACAACTAATTGACAGTCTCATTGGTCTTGTACATGGAATGATTGAGGTAACACCTTCTTTTTTAGTTCAAATGAGAAACCATTTGTACAAGACAGCCCTTAAGGGTGCAGGCTACCAGGTACAACATGCTGCAACATGGAGTGAGTAGCCATGGATCTCATCAGTAATTATTTTGGAAATGTAGCTATGTGAATGGAGAAGAATGAAAATAAAAACCTCACATAAATTTGGATTCCCAGAATATCTAGAAGCATCCCTCTTCTCCTTATTCCTGTAATAGCTTAAGTCACACAATAGTTTGTCTGGGTGAGGGAAATATAAACCTTGGGGATTTTGAGATAACATGGGGGTGTCCAGTAGTTTTAATAGTAAGAAGTGTTTTTCTCGTCCTTTTTAGGAAAAGATATGGCTGCTGTGCAAAGAACCTTATTGGCTTTGGGCAGTGAAGCTGTCACAAGGGATGATGGATGTTACAGAGGCGATCCATCCTGGTTTCACAGGTAAAGATCTGTTTGACTGTTTTCTACTATAGATAAAATGTGTTATTTTGGGGAAAGGGTCATTATAGCATAGTCAATGGAGAAGGATTATTGGAGCTGCAGATTAAACACATTTGGAAGGCTATAGGTGCCCCCTCCCCCCACCTTTATCTTAAATCCTTTGGGAGATGTTCTGTATAATCCGAAATGTGGATTATATATACACTCAGAATTAAATGGCATTGGGAAAAAGTAAAAGTTTAACAGTACTTGCTGAGGTTTTTTTCTTTTGTATTTCTACAAATAACTACCAAAGGTTATCCTTCAAGGAATTTTCAGTGTTTGGGAATAGGCAGGAAGCAAGTATTTTTTTGCCAAATTGATAGGTACTGTATCCTAGCCAAATAAATTGCACACTATCTTTAGAAAACCCAAATGAAGACAAAATGCATCTTTCCTAAAGAATTTGCCAGTTTTCTGTGGCACTGTAGGTATTCAAGGGCTTGGATTAGACTCTCACATATATATTCCTTCAAAAATACAGAGATGGGAGACATTTCAAAGACATAATTTAGCCATTCTCTGCCTGAGTAAGGGAGACCCACTTTTCCAGCATCTCATATAATAAATAAATAAATAAACAAATAAATAAATAAACTTTATTTATACCCTGCCATCATCTCCCCTACGGGAACTCGAGGCGGATTACATGAGGCCAAGCCCATACAACAAATTACAATAAAATAAGATACAAGTTACAATAAAATAAACAACATCGCAGAAAAATACAGAACATATGACTACAATAAACAAAATACAAAAAAAACCCATAATGACAGTGAGCGGACCGCATGTACATAAAATGATTTTTAAAACTCAGGGTGAGATAAAGGAGCAGAATTATTTGTGAGTGAGATAATGATCATAGAATCATAAAATCATAGTGTTGGAAAAGAGTGCATGGGCCATCCAGTCCAACCCCTTGCCATGCAGTAAAAACACAATCAAAATATCCCTTAGAGATGGTCATCCAGTTTCTGTTTAAAAGCCTCCAAGTAAAGAGCTACCACCAGACTCTGAGACATTGTGTTTCACTGTTGAACAGCTCTTCCAATTAGGAAGTTCTTCCTAATGTTCAAGTGGAATTTCCTTTCCTGTAATTTGAACCTATTGCTCCGAGTCCTAGTCTCCAGGGTAGCAGAAAACAAGCCTGCTCCCTTTTAATGAGGTTCAAAATCAGTTGTTTGTTCTAACATTATGGATTATCAATCACAATTGGTTAGATCAGTGGTTCTGAACCTGTGGGTCCCCAGGTGTTTTGGCCTACAACTCCCAGGAATCTCAGCCAGTTTACCAGCTGTTAGGATTTCTGGGAGTTGAAGGCCAAAACATCTGGGGACCCACAGGTTCAGAACCATTGGGTTAGATGCTCTAAAGGCCATAAATAATATATGTGAATTTTGTGCCAAATAAATTCAGAACTGTGAGTAGCCTTCTGCTGAGCTTACAAAAACTTTCACAATGGTAAGAAAAATGATTAAAGTATTGATTACATCCTTTGAAAACAGAACCCCTACCTCTGCAGAAGACCAACTAGATTGTTTTCACCAACAGTTTCCATGTAGAATAGGGATGGACAACTTCAGTGACCCAGAACCTTCCCAAGAGCTGAACATATTGCTCCAAATGCCCAGTCATCCATTCCCTCAAAGGTGATCAGAAGTCTACTCTTAATTTTGAGAAATTGGTATTTATTTAGTTATACCATTATGTAGTACAACTGGCTACTGCTGGAGACTTTCAAGAAAGGTGTGATTTAGGGGAATTAGTGTGTCTGTGTGTTACAAGTAGAAAATCATCTTGGAGGGTTTGCATGTAGTGACCACCTCATCAGAAGGGGTATATTTCGGCGGTAATGCCAATTCCTTTTTAGTTTTGCAACAGAACTTGTCAGTTCCCATTCCATGATGTACAGCTACTTCCAGTGGGGCTCTGTTGTGAAATTAAAGAGGAACCGGCATTGCTGCAGAAATACACCCTGTCTGATGAGGTTGTCACTACTTGCAAACCCTCCAAGATGATTTTCTACTCGTTGCTATGGTGGCAACATGGAAGGCTTCCCATGTTACACTGCGATCAATGGGGGGAAGCTAGGTGGTGGACGATCCCCCCCACCCCACCTTCCATGGCATGAGGTAGGGGGGAAGCCAGGCGATGTGAGGCATGGGGCAACAGGTTCTCCACACCTCCCATTGGGCACTGCTAGATCCGCCAAAATGTGTGGCAATTCCAGCGGCAAATTTGATGAGGTTATCAGAGTTGCAATTTGCTCAGTCCTGATGGAAAACACACACATGTTTTCAAGCGTTGCTAATGATGTTGCTCAGATGCAGGCAACTGGGAAACAGGAAGCAGAACTTGCAGTAAAATCTTGCCTTTTAAACATAAGTGAAGTGTTTGATTTGAATTAAATGAAGATTTAATAGGTAATCCATGGTTTCCATGACAGCAGGGCAATGAACCAGTTCTAGCTTTTAGTCAATGCTTTAAATGAGACATCTAAGTAGGTTCCACACATTTTATAGCTCATTTAATGTGCATACTGAAATCTAGAAAAAAATCACTGCTTGAATTATGTGGAAGCCACAAAATACCACCATTAAAAGGACCTGCAGTCTCTAATATTTATTTCATACCAAATTTCAGGCAAAATGGACCGGAAAAAGAAACCCACATAAAATGAAGTGTCAACCTAAATCTGAAAGGTTACATTTTGTTCAAAACTGTACTTTTTAGAACAAGAAATAAAGAAATTGAAAGTGTTTGTTTGGAAAGAATCTGAAGTAATTAAATTACTGGGTAAAAAAAAACCCCTCCTTACTGTGGCATTTGTTTGACTCCACTAGAGAACCTTTCAGATTTTGTGGCTCTGTGCTCAAGCTTGTGTATTTATATAATATAAAAGCATTTCTATAGCATTATAGGCTCTTTCAAATATATTATAGCTGCCTCAAGAGAGTAGCAGTACCTAGGATAATGGAAATACCCAGGTTTTTAGGATCAGCAAACCACAGTGCCAGAATTCCAGATCAATGTAGGATGGTCAATTTTTCTGGAGAAATCTTGCCAGAATTAGCATTTTATGAATTTTTTTAAACCTGTTTCTGGGACAATGGTACTCAGTATTGTACATTCGTGCCTTAATCTAGCACATCATTTGGGCATCTGCTTAAGTGTTTTGTTGGACAATGTCCAGATTACTTAAGATCTCAGCCACTGGAAAAGCGTTATATTGATTTGGCTGGAATAACCCTTTCTCTGTCTCTGTTCTGTGGGTATGGCTAATGCATCAGTAGCAACATTCCAAGGTGATCTGCTTTTTTATCTCCAGGATTGCTGCTTGAGAAAACTGTGTATAGAAAACAGACATTTTTAAAAATCTAATAATGGTCTTGACTATTTGTTCTTTGCTAGACTTGACATGAGTTCCTATGGCTATAAATATCCCAAGACACATCAGGACTGAAAGTGTAGAATCCGCCCCCCCTCAAAGACACAATTGATGGTGGTAACTTTTCCAAAATATTACAGTTCATTGAGGAAATCAATTTGTCCAAGGTTTTAAGGGAGTGATGGGTTCTGGAAACTGATTTAACTTTACGAAATGCCTGAGGTTTTTCTGTTCTTCTTGCTTTTAAAAACATTTTAACAAAACATACATCATTTATAGCTTTATAACACTCTGCAGATTCCTACCATCTGTGCTTCTAAAATGCACCGCAAGTGTCATTTCTCATAAAGTTACTTCCAAGACATCCTGGAAAGTCTGTTAGTTGGAAATTGGGGAAGAGCTTTAAGCCCTGTAACCACAATGGTGGTTTGTCAAACGTTTCAAAAGAAAGGGGACATTGGAAAAACGTTGGTTACATATGTTAAGTAGCAAGCCCATGAGATGCCTCCTCCTGCTTCATAGAATCATAGAATCAAAGAGTTGGAAAAGACCTCATGGGCCATCCAGTCCAACCCCTGCCAAAAAGCAGGAATATTGCATTCAAATCACCTCTGACAGATGGCCATCCAGCCTCTGTTTAAAAGCTTCCAAAGAAGGAGCCTCCACCACACTCCGGGGCAGAGAGTTCCACTGCTGAACGGCTCTCACAGTCAGGAAGTTCTTCCTCATGTTCAGATGGAATCTCCTCTCTTGTAGTTTGAAGCCATTGTTCCGCGTCCTAGTCTTCAAGGAAGCAGAAAACAAGCTTGCTCCCTCCTCCCTGTGGCTTCCTCTCACATATTTATACATGGCTATCATATCTCACCTCAGCCTTCTCTTCTTCAGGCTAAACATGCCCAGCTCCTTAAGGCGCTCCTCATAGGGCTTGTTCTCCAGACTTGTTCTTCAAATCAATAGAATATTGTCCTTCAAGGGGGAATTTCTTTGAGGATTTTTTTTTATCCAGCCTTATTTCAAGAGAGAAGGAAATAAAAGCACAGACCAACTAAATCTATGGGGCCATAAACATTGACCATTTAATGCAGTATTGAAAAAAGTTGTTTTGTTGTGCAGATGATTACATAGAACACACTGGAACTAGTTTAAGGCCTAGATGTTTTATACACAAATCACAGAGCACTGGCACACATAAATAGCTTTTGTGTGTGTGTGCATTTCTGTGGGCATTTGTTGTCTGATCAACATACTTGAAACAATGACTTGAAGTGTATTAGAGGGTCAGTGTAGACCAGTGGTTCCCAACCCTTTTTTGACCAGGGACTACTTGGCCAGGGATCACTCTCCAACATTAGTGCCAAAAGGGTTACAAATCAGTTTTTGGTCAACTTTAGATTCAGTTGGTTATTTGGGGTGCTGATTCAGAAAATTGCATTGCATAGACCACATCAGCTCTATTTTCTCATATAGAACATATGCCATCCAGTAGTTGCCATCTGCTTCCCCAAAGAAAACTATATTTAATAAGCTTCAGCATTATAAGAGGGTTTTGCGAGAGCAGTCACTCTTGTTGCAACAGTGAAGTAACGGCGAGACCGCAGACCATATTTTAATTCTTGCAAATCACTGGTGGTCCATGGACCACAGGTTGGGAACCACTGGTGTAGATGGGCCATACATAAACGTTTTACTTTTGCTCATTTTTCTCTATACATAATCTTTCATTGAAACCAGAATTTCATGATGGAGAACTAACAACAAACACATTAACTTAACAAATCTCATCTTTTTTGCAGAAAAGCACAGAGAAACCAACGAGGGTTTTCAGAAGAGCAACTTCGTCAAGGACAGAATGTCATTGGCCTCCAAATGGGGAGTAACAAGGGAGCATCCCAGTCTGGGATGACTGGATATGGCATGCCAAGACAGATAATATAGGCTACTCCACCAAGAACACTCACTCACACGATCTATAGCATGGCCTGACTGGGAAAAATAGCTACTTAATGTTCATGCTAAAATCTGCTTCTACTTTTTTTTCCTCTAAGATTTTTGGATCTACCTATATATTTTTCAGATGCGACCTTTCAACCTAAAATGTGGATCTATGTGCTTGTTGCGTACCAGCTCACACAGCACGCTGGTACCATATAATGTTCATTTTGAACTATGCAAAGACTATTTTTCTGTATTTATTTGCAAATTTGTTACCTTCTGTACCTGTGTCTTATTGAACTTGCTCTTGCACCTATTTTATCTTGTTCTCCACTCTGCTTATGGGATGCCTCCATCACTTACAATAAAATTAAAAAAGAGGGTGAATGGGAAAGAACTGAGAGATGCACTCTGGAAAAAAGAAATACAAAAGGTAGCATAGGTATGTCCCTGAACCTGGAAAAGTTGCTTTTTGGAATACAGCTCCTTGAATTTTTCAGTCAACATGGTGGATAGTCATGTTGTCCAAGGATCTGTGGAATCTATAGTACAGGAAAAATGACCCTTACAAGCTTTCTTATGTTTTGGGTTGTTCTGAAGGGTAAGTAGAGGGAATATGCTTCACATTACTTGATACATGGAGCCTAAATACCTTAAAGGCACTAGATGTTATACTTACATGGGAAAGCACCAAGAAATACCAGGTTCTGTAGGCTAGGCTGTATTTCAAAACCACTCTTAGTTTTCTTTATTTAAGAAAACCTTGTGAAATTCATTTGGTTGCAATGATGTTAAAGGCAACTTGAAGGCACACACACTCTTGATACATAGACCTCTAGGCAAGTCATTGATTGGAACTGCAATGGAGATGAAGCTGGAACTGATGTTCAAAGATACAAATTAACCCTTCAGCACAAATCTTAGGCAGTTTGGATAAGTTATCCCACCACTGCAAAAGTTGGACTTAGTGGCAACTTATAAAAGTAAGGATAACTGATCTGAAGAAGAAACCCAGAAAGACTACTTTATAAGCAGAAAAAGGAAGAAGAGGTTAACAAGCAAGTTCATGAAAACAGAGCTTAGATCTTATAGTTAGTCCCAATTAAAGCAGACTCACTCAAATGACAGGAACTCGATAGCTCAACGCTTATGTAAGTTTCATTACTTAACTGCACCTACTCTATTTGTTGAGGCTGAATATATTCTTTCATCTAAAGAGCACCAGGCAGCATATGTGAATTTTTTTTGCCATAAGAATATGTGAAAATATCTGCCATTCAATGAGATTTGATGGTATCAAACTATGGACCTTTACACATTGGCTTATTTTTGGCAGTGGTGGTGGGTTATTTGCACTTTTGCCACGGAGCCTGCCAGCTTCCATCACACACAGTAAATGTACTTCTGGGGTGGTTCTGTGACAAAAACCCTGCTGCTGCTGAAAAATTGCTGAAATCTGGGTTTAGCCAGCTTAAAGAGGCTTCCCCCTATGTGATGAAGTAGGGAGGAAACCAGGACAATGCAAGGTGACAGATCCCCATGCCCCCTGGTCAAGTGCCACTGACATCAGCACAATTTGCAGCTATATTTGATGATTCCGGTGAGACAGGTGAAGAGGCCCCTTATAGCATAGAAGTGAGAGTCACACAGTCTGTGGGGCAATGCAATCCCATGGTCAGCTTTGTGGATCCCAGAGCCCCATCCTCTTCATTTTTGGGTTAACAGTGAAGAAGCCTCCAGAAGACATGATTCACCTCTAAAACAAGTTCCATGCATCTTGTGTTATCTTCTCTGACATTTTTTAAAAGCTTGATGAAATCTTCTAAAATTGAAAGTTAGCCCTCAGGAACTTCTGGAAATAGTTGGTGAAAACTATTGTAAGGCTGGAGTGTACATATATTGATAGGAACTGACTTCAAGACCTTCCAATTGTAATTCCCTCCAGTAACTGTAGTATAGTACCTCAGTTTTCAGATTTTAATTACATCTTTTTGCTCTCTATTCAGATATCCTTTGTTTTAAAGTTTTTTCTGTGTTAGAGATGCCATGGGTTTGCTTTGGGTTTTATTCAAGACTTTAAATGAGCTATATAAGAAGTTAAACCTATTTTGGGGGTAAGGTTCTAGACCTTGACTATCTTTTTTAAAAGTCTGCACTAAATCCCACAGCTGACTCACTACAGTCCTGACATGGAAGTGAACAGAAACACAATATTCCGTTCATCTTGCATGGCCTGATTTTTCCAGTACTGCTGTGTTTCAGTGGAAACTGCTGCAGATTAAAGAAAAGAAGAACACTACATGGAATTATTTTATCACCACGGTTATCTTGGCTTCTCTACATATGCACAATACATACTCTTGAATTCATCTCTTACTAATAACTCGCAGAGCTGATAGGTGATAGTAATGATGACAGTAATGTATCGCATAATAAAGAACAGCTGACACTAACCACATGATCATAGATATCAAGTTTAGATATGATCAGAAGTTTGCCCTATGTTCAAATGGAATGCCATAAGTTGCATCAGGTGGTAGAAGTTGAAGGTGGCAGTGGCATCAGGACGTATTTAGCATGTGGCCTGCCCCTAAGCTTGTTTTTTGCCATCAGATGTAGTAAAAGACGTCAATCTGGTCATCCTTTGTTCACAAAATAGGAAGGGGCACCATCTTTTCCTTAGTCTCAGGGCCCTTCCACACTGGTATATAACCCAGAATATCAAGGCAGAAAATCCCACAATATCTGCTTTGGTTATCTGAGTCCACATTGCCATATATTCCTGTTCAAAGCACAAAATGTGGGATTTTATTCAGCTGTGTGTAAGGCGCCTCAGAAAGCAAAATGCCTTGGTTGGATCCTGAATGCTCTACTGCCAAAAGCAGGTAATAATGCAGTTCTGTCATCCTGTATTCAGCTGGGTCTGTTCTGAACTGAATGTCCATGTCAGCTCAAGTTATCTTATTTGTAATTATTACGGGCAGGAAATATAAGCTGATATCCAAGTTGCCTAGGCAAACAGCACAATTAGATTAGTTCTCAGGGACATTGGGATAATACACTATAATTAGCTTATATGAGAAAGAAGAATTGCATGATGAGAAGGAAGAGAAGACAGCAATCCACGTGGTGAGAGTTTCTTCCCTATCAAATGAAATGTTTCAGGTTTTCCTATCACCTATTTTTATTTAAAAAGCATGAGAAATGGTGTTAAAAGTTTCATCTTCAAGGCTTCCTTTTCACTCACTGTACAGCAACCTTTCGCCTCCACATCATATCTTTCAAGCACACATAACAATTATTTTCAGGGCAGTAGCAACAAAATGTTTATGAGGCCTAGCTCATGTGGATATTCAAGTCTCTCCTTATGTTTTCAGTTTTCAATTTTAAAACAAGTAATACTGTGGAAGGTAGAGTTCAGTTCCTGGCTCCTGTGCACAGCCAAAATTGTTGAGTTGCATTGAGTTCAATTTGGGCTCCAGTGCACAGCCATTTGGCTTACGTACAGTATGGGAAACTTCTTACCTAACCCTGAGTCCCTCCCACTAATAAGGTAGATTCCTCTCTATGGTTTTAATTTTCCATGGAGGGCAAGTGGCCCATGGGAGAAACCCATTACTATATTATCAGTAAACAGTGATAAGACATAACAGTGAGTTGATAGATCTGTTTCATTTACTGCCTTATGGTTCCTCATGAGAGAGTCCTCATCCATAAATTGTATTTGTGCTTCTTTAGCATCATGTTATCAGAGAAAGAGAGGTCTGAAGTTCTACACAGCTTGGGACAAGGTTATCTGAAAGGCTGAAGACAAAGATTTTTAGGAGGTGCCTTCTTTTAGTCCCAAGAGGCATATTTATTTGTTTATTTATTTGCTTCATTTATATACTGCTTTTCTCAGCCCTTGGGCGACTCAATATGGATGAGGAGAGATGTGAGAGAGTGGCTTCTTGGTTGCTGATTCATTTCTCTTTAAGAGAGGCAAAGTTGGCTCCTCCCCGCTTTGCTTTCATTGTCAAGCAAACATTTTTAAAATTCCGCATGGCTTCAACTGGAGGATTGTGTATTTTTTATTGATGTGTATTAAAAATTTGGCCATGTTCACTGTGCTGTTCAGCTCAGTCAGTTCTGATGAGCTGGAGAAGGTTCTGAAGGTAGTTCCTGAATGAACTGACCAGATGATCCATCCCTAATGTCAGACATTAGTACCCCCACCTCCCATCCCCAGACTTGGTTCCTTGGCACTGCTTTATGGAGATACATGTTGATAATCCCTTATCCAGAAATCTGAAATGGGAACTACTAAAAAATATGAACACCTTTGCTTTCTGATGGTTCAGTGTACACAAACTTTGTTTCATGCACAAAATTATTAAAATATTGTATATAATTACCTTCAGAATATATGTATAGGGTGTATATGAAACATAAATGAAATTTGTGTTCAACCTTGGCTCCCATCTCCAAGATTATGAACATACAAGGAAATACACATATACCAAAATAAATGAATAATTTTAAATCCAAAATACTTTTTGTCACAAATGTTTCTGATAAGAGATACTCAACCTGTATGAAGAAGAATGCAAAGGTAGCATTTTACTAAAATGGTTGCTAAGATTCCATTGTTGGGACAAATGGAAATGTAAGTTGAGTTATTGAGTTCTTATTGGACATTTTATAAAACTAAGATGCTTTATGAATATTTGATATTAAATATATTAAACCAATTGCATTAAACTACCTAAATAAAAAAGAACGAGCAAGCACTTGCTATGGTATATACAGAGAGAGATATCAGTCAAACTGAAATCAAAGATTCATGCCCAAGAATGCCCAAATGAATAGATATGATTCTATTAATTGGTGGAATACATGCATTGCAACCATTAAGGGCAGAGGACCTCATTCAGGGGTGGGTTTCAAAAACAGTGTCATTGGCCCATTTGACTAATGGACAGGATCTAAAACAAAAAGATGAAACCAAAAATATTTAGCCTTAGGAGAGGCACACGATGCATTTTATAATGGAGAAAATGATTATTCAAGTGTGTCTGATCATCTGAGGAGCAACTTCAAACAATAAGCCATCTTTTACAAATAGACAAACTTGGTGTAACTTGAAGAGAGCAGATACATGCTAACATCCCTGGATTATCGTAATGGAAACTCATACACTTTGATTTGGGTGTACAAAATGTGACTGTGTGCCTCATGCAACTCATCACCAAATGTTGTAGCCTCCAGGCAGTCACATCACTGCCCAAGACTTTAAAAATCATAATTAAATCATAGAGAATTAATCTTCTGGAAGTGTGATTCTCTCATAAAATAATTTTTTCCTCTTTTTACTGCATATTATGTTTGGTTTGGTGTGTGTATGTGTGGCCCCTGGAGCACCCAAACTTGCTCATTTACAATTAATTGTGCTGGGTCTTGAAAATGACTAGTATTTTCACTAAAGGTTCTATATCCTGAGATGATCCAGAGTCAGATAGAGATAAGGACTTCTCCCTTTTCCTTGCTCAATGTGGTGTTGCTGTTTGTGCATTATACCAGGAGTCCAGAAAATGAGAAATCAATTCCCTGCTCACCCATGGAAATCCATTGGATCATAGAATCATAGAATAATGGAGTTGGAAGAGAGACCTCATGGGCGATCCAGTCCAAACCCCTGCCAAGAAGAAGGAAAATCACATTAAAGCACCCCCTTGGGCAAGTCATAATTTCTCAGTCAAAAAGGAAGTCAATGGCAACTCCCCACCACTTCCTGCTCCCAATAAAAATCACATGATAGAGTCAACTTAGAGCTTCCATAAGTTGACTTGAAGTATCTTGAAAGCACAGAGCAGTAGCAGCAACAATTTATTCTTAGAGATATCACATCAGGCAGTCGAGGTCGAATAACACTTGCCAAAGAATTGGCATAAAGGGATTTATAAAAGGGCCAGAGAAGTAATGGAAGCATTTCAGTACCAACAAATAAACAGACATTTTTCAAATGGTTACTTGCTCTGTCAGATGACTGGGTACATGATACATTTTCAGCTTGTTCTTTGTTTCCATTCACTTTGTAGTTGTTTGTCTTTGTCTAAATCATCCTCTGTGACCTTAAATAATGATATAAAATAAAGGTTGAACACTGTGTTGGGGAGGTAACTGTAATGGCTATAGCTGATATGAATTTTGTCATCTTTAGTACTTTAGTCTGACCTTTAGTTCTAATGAGATCTCTTTGGAAATTGCTCCCTTGATAGAAATCCTCTCTAACTGCTCTTATAATGTATCATTCCTGGTAGAATGAATCAGTGGCATCCAAGTCCAGATTAAGAAAGGCCAAAGACCTCAGTGATGCCAGGTTTAACTCCAGCCTATGCACTAGTAACTGCCAGTAAGATTCTAGCCACTTTTTTTTCCGTAAGAAGATATTTGTTCTGTGAAAAATTCTGCAAATCATAGTTCCACATATGATAGGGAACTGTCAATCTATTCATAAGCTTCTGCACATCGTATGCTTACAATGCTGTAAACTGTGCAGTGATTAATGTTTATTTAGAGAACATTTTATAAAAGCCATATGTCCATGGCTGTTAGCTATTTCTTGCTAAAGTGCTTGCTCAGTGAAGTGTGAAGTGTGATGAAATATGAGGGGTTTTCAGATGAGTGCTTGGCTTCTGCTGATGGATCAAGTCATAAGCAGAGACCTAAATACAAATGTAGCTCATATTTATCAATCCATGGGGCGTTACTAAATAATTGTTCTGACTGAGTATAGAGGTTTTTCCACTTTGAATTTGTCAAATGAAAAATCAGAATTTGATAAGTGAGAAATTCCATTTTGTGTATGTGTGTGCGCATAAGTTTTTCTGTCTTGATGTGCAGGAAACGAAAAGTCCAGCTCAAATCTGAGTAGACTGCAGTGGTACATCATTGGATTCACAATTACTGTATTAGCTATCCTTGGAATTTAAACAAATAAAGTCTCATCGCCATTGCAAAGT